GTCGCGGGCGGGGTCGCGGGTGGATCGCGGGTGGGACGCGGTTGGGTCGCGGTGTGGGTCGTTGGTGGGTCGCGGGGTGGGTCGCGGGCGGGTGGGTCGCGGGCGGGTGGGTCGCGGGTGGGTCGCGGGTGGCGTCGCGGTGGGGTCGCGGGTTGGTCGCGGGTGGGTCGCGGGGTGGGTCGCGGGGGGGTCGCGGGGTGGATCGCGGGTGGGTCGCGGGTGGGGTCGCGGGCGGGTCTCGGTGGGGACGACGCAACAAAACAACAAGCGTAATCCTCACTGTGGATCCCCGCTTCAGCCACGCACCCAGGGACAGTGAAGAACCATTCGTCCCCCTCATTCTAATTATCATTACTAGCCTTATTCGAATTTCCTTTTCAATTATATGTTCATCATCACTTTTCCAAAACCTAAGAACACGACATCGGAGGCCAACACCATTACAACAGCACGGCATCGGATGCCTCTCGTGTTGTTGTTGCTGCTTCTGCCGATCATTGCTTGCCACTATCGCCATCATCATCGTCAGCACCATACTCATCATCATAAGCAGATGCTTCGCTTTCATCGTCGTCATCAGCATCACCATCATTACCATCGTCCTCACCATCATCAGGATCACCATCATCATCATCATCATCATCATCATCATCATCATCAGCAGCAGCAGCATCATCATCATCACCATCATGATCAACATCATCATCAACGTCAATCTCATCACCATCATCCACAACAGTATCAGCGTCGTCGTCATCATTGTCACCGCGACCACCACGCGCCGGCAACCCTGGCTCGAGCTGTGGAGGATGTTCGCAGGACCCACGGGACAGGGCGGGCAGTACGCCACCGTGCCGGTGCAGCAGGTGCAGGTGGTGCAGGTCCGCGGCGGCGGAAAGCGGAGGTCCGAGTTTGCGCCGATATTCGCGCGCAAGCTCCCCGCGTGAGGCCGCGCGTCCACGACCACGCTTCCAGTGTTGCGTGCCGCGCTGGCGGCCCGCGCAAGCCACGGCGTGGGGCCGCCACGCCCTCGCGCGGAAGTCGGCGGCGAGCGAGCGGGGGGGAAGCGAGCAGGCGAGGGCCTTCTCGGAAGGCGGCGGGGCTTCTGGGAGCGCTCCGGCGCCTTCTCTGACGTGTTCCGTGTCCTCGGGGGAGGCCTAGACAGTTTCTCGGAAGGCCCAGGGACCTGCGAGCCTTCTGCGAAGGCCTTCTCCTTCTCGCTTCCCGCCCTCGCTCGCCGCCGAGTGCAGCCGGCCCGCATGTGAGGGATGGGCAACCTTCCCAGGTGTACCCTTGCATCCTTGCCTCCTCGGCCCATCCTTGGCCACTTTCGTTGGCCGCGCCCGCTCGAGAAGCTTCGAAATGAGCGCCCAGGGCCATTGCATCCTTATTGCGCACGTGCACGGACGAGGGGCGGCCACAGGAGGTGCTGGAAGAAAGAGGAGAAGAAGAGGGCGCCACGAGATCTGGGAGATACCGTGGCCCCGACCATGAGATCCACATCGACCCTGCCCCCACAACCCCCATCCAGACGGAGCCAGGACGAGGATAGCATCGGGTGAGGATAAGTCGATCGTTCGTTCGTCGTCCCCTTCATACGGGTTGACTCGTAGGGCCCGCCTGCTCTCGTCGCTCAGGTGGCGCAGCCGCCCGCGTCCGGCGGCGGGGCCGATGGCCTCGGGTACGCGGAGAGAGCGCAGCAGGCGGGCTTCCAGCTGACCGGGGATGCCCTCACCGCGCTGGCGGGCCTGACGCCCGACCACGCCAACGAGATCCTGGACGTCGTGGGCGCAAAAAACTATCCCTGGCATCGATCATGACGAGTGCGTGTTCTTTTCATCTCGCGGCGAGAGCCATCGAGGAGCACCCTGGATCATGTGATATAGTCCCACCCCAAAAAAACGCACGGAGCTGGAACGTGCACGGGGGGATGGACGTACGAGCGAGGGCGTGTATCCGGATCTGCGGCCTCGCGATGCGGGGCCCCTGGGGGCCGCGGCCCCGCGGGGACGCGGGGCGTGTCTCCGCGGAGGCCCCGCGCGGAATTGCACCCCCCCGTGCGGCCGCGGCCCTATCCGCGGGGGTGATCGCGCCGCGGCGTCCAGACCGCGAGGGCGCGGCGAGCGAGGGGGGGAAGTGGGAAGGAGAAGGCCTTCTCAGAAGGCAGAGGGCCCTTCTCGGAAGGCCTCGCCCCCCTCCCTCGCTCGCCGCCGCGTTTTGGCCAACCGCGCTCGGGAGCGACATGCTATCCACATCCCTGCCCCCAGGCGTCCGTGCCCCGAGTTTTGACCGAGCCTCCCGCCCCGCGGAGCGGAGCGACACGCTGTCCGCTCGCAGGGCATGGCGTGCCGCAATGGGGGCCGCCGCCGCGGCGCGCCAAGCAAAACAGCTCTGGGCCGTCCGTTCGCCGCTCGTGGAGGACTTCGTGTGCATGCGGCACCAGACGCTGCGGGACCCCTCCAACTATCCCGACGCGCTGCCGCGCCTGCCCCTCCGCCGCGGCTGCTCGCGGGGGCGCGCCGTGTGCAGCGCTGCCGCGGGCGGCGCGGCCCGCAGCGCTCTCCAGGGCTGGCCGTGGCGCCTCTTCTTGGGGGCCTCGCAGTCGGGGGGCCTCCTGGGGGCGCTCTCGGGGGCCTCTCGGGGTCTTGTATAGGTGGCTGACGTGGATCCCTGGGGCCCATCCTGGACGGCTGTTTCGGGGAACGAGCCATGGCATAAGCATGCACTTTCCGAGGCCCGCGCGGGCTCCTCGGGTCGGCGCGGGGGACCCCTGGCGGCGCTTCCAGCGCCATTCAGCGCGGATCTCCGAGAAGGTATTGTTATGCTGTGTTGTGCAACTCCAGCTCTGGATCTTGGGGCCATCTTGGAGGGTTGTCGGGGCCGCTTGTGCGGGGGTCTTGGCCGTCCTGTGCCAGCATCGGGCCCCCGTGGGCTGGTCTGGGGCCGGTCGTCGTGGGACGGTCGTTGGCCGTCGTCGGGCCAGGCTCCTCCAGGGGATCGGCGTGAGACGGCTGGGGAGCGCTCATGGGCGGTCCGACGGCCGGCCGTCGGGCCGCCCATGAGCGGAGGAGGAGGAGGAGGAGGAGGAGGAGGAGGAGGAGGAGGAGGAGGAGGAGGAGGAGGAGTAGGCGGAGGAGGCGGAGGAGGGGGAAGGGGGAGGAGGGGGAGGAGGGGGAGGGGGAGGAGGAGATAGAGGAGGAAGAGGAGGAAGGGGAGGAGAAAGAGGAGGAGGGAGGAGGAGGAGGAGGAGGAGGAGGAGGAGGAGGAGGAGGAGGAGGAGGAGGGAGGCGCTGTTGAGCGTGAAGGCCTCTCGGAGAGGTGCGGGGGCCTCTGGCGAGGTCTGTGGGGCCCTTCTGGTGAGTCCTGCGGTCGTCTGGCGAGGGTCGGGTCTTGAGGCGGCCGAGGCTCGTCGAGGAGCCCTGTGGGGCTGGTCGTCGCCCGCCCCATAATTAGCGCTGTCTCGGGGCGTGCCGCGCGGCCCCGGGATGCGGTTTGGCGGGGAGGCCCCAGGGCCATCCCGATAGGCGCAGTACAGTCCACCCGCATGATCAGGTTGAGTACTCGTTGCAAGGTTGTGTGTGTGCGTGAAGTCCGCTCGCATCACCACTGTATCATCACATACCGCTAACGTATCGGCTCAGGTATTGGTGTACACACCGCGCTGCTCTCTGCGCAGCGCCCTGGAAAAGGAGTTGCCAACCTCTTCCTCGCCCACCTCTGCCATAGCGGATAGTCGTGTAGGTTCGACTCCTTGGCCTTTACCCCATGCGCACAGGTTGCCCGTGCACCCGTCCTTGCCTCTGTGGCCCGTCCTTTGCTGTTTTCACTGGTCGCCGCCGCCCAAACAATCCCAACTTCGGCCTCCAAGGGTCTTGCGTCCTTGCCATGCGTCCCTAATATACGTTTTGACTGTAGGTTCGGCCCCTTGGTCATTACAGTCGGGGCCCTGAAGAAGGAACCCTTTTCGTTGGGGAGGGGCTCCGCGTTCCTTAAGTGTTTCACAGCTTGCCTCAGGTTTTCCTTATGTTTCCGATCGGAAACCGAAGTTTAACTTATGGAAAAAAAGGGGTCTCGTTCCTTATTTCGGGTTCCTTAGGTCAACGCGCCGACTGCACCCCCCACACACACAGGTTGCCCGTGCACCCCTGCCCGTTCGGCCCATCCCTGGCAGCTCTCGCCGGCCAGCCTCCCGGGGCACCCTCGCAGCCTCCGGCGCTGCGCGGCGCGGCCCCCCTGTGCGGGCCACGCCCAACGGCTGCGCGGCGAGGTGGGCACCCTTGGCCATTTTCCTTGGCATCGCTCGGACGTGTGCAGCTTTCCTTCGGTGGGGACCATCGAGGAGCATACTTGATCATTTGGCGAAAAAGCCACGCACGAAACCAGAAAAAGCACAGGGAATGGACGTCTGAGCGATGGCCAGCTTCGGGCCCCGATTGGCCATCCTTCACTGGTGCTGCGGGTTGATTGTGTCCAGGGCGTGCGCCGGAAAACGCGGCGCTGAGTGCCGACACATCCTCGCACGCAGAGATCGGCGGCGAGCGATGGGTGGGGGGGGGGTGCGAAGGAGAAGTCCTCCTCCTCCGAAGGCGGCGGGGCCTCTCAGAAGGCCTCTGGCCATCTGGCCTTCGGAGAGGTTTCTTGCGTCTTCGGGGGAGGCTCAGAAAGCTCTTCAGAAGTCCCTTGTCACTTCCCCCCCCCCCCCCCCTCACCGCCGAACAGTTTTGGGACTCCCAGACCCCCAGCAGCACTCCGCAGTGCTATGTGCACCGTGGCGCATGTAAAGGTCAGGCGGGGTAGAAACACACAGACACTAACCGACGATTCCCAGCACGGGAAGCTATGCGAAGTGACAGGGCAGAGGCACGTCAAGGAAACATGATACAAATATCTGGCATCCTGGAATTTCTGTGTATTTGTGTGTCCCTGTGCCCCTTTTCAGAAGGGTGGACCTCGACTGGCACCTCAACGCTGCCAGAAGCGCGGTGGCGGACATCGTGAGCACCGTGGCTCGGGGCTTCCAGTCGCGCAGGAACGGCCCAGTTATGCTGGGGCAGCAGGGGTTCGCCCCCGCCGCCGTGCAGTACGTGCAGCAGGCGCCCCAGCAGCAGCAGCAGCAGTTCGTGCAGGCGCCCCAGCAGCAATTTGTGCAGCAGCCGCCGCAGCAGTTCTCCCAGCAGCAGGGGGCGCAGACGTCGCAAACCGTGCAGCAGCTGCTCGAGAGGATGCAGGGCGCGGGCGTGGTCATCGACGACCACGCCGTGCAGGCGCTTTCGACGCTCCCCGACGATCACGCGGAGGAGATTGCGGATTACGTGATCCAGAGCCGTGCGTTCCTGCGCAACCCGTCGAAGTACATTTCCAGCACCGTGGCTCTCGAAGAAGAAACAACCGCATGAACACAACTTTCGGAGGTCCGCGCGGATTCCTTGGATCTGCGCTGGACCACCCACCCTGGCGGCGCCTCTGGCGCAGGGGGGAAAGCCCAGCACCGATCCAAGACATCCGCGCGGACCCTGGTTGGATCACCTCCGGGGCTGCTATGTGGACGCCGAGGTGCAGTGTACCTCGCCTGCCGTAGCTCAGCAGTGGGTTGCACGTGCACGCAGCGGCTTACGAGGGAGGGGGAGAAGGAGGAGGAGGAAGCGGAGGAGGAGGAGGCGGAGGAGGAGGCGGAGGAGGAGGAGGAGGGGGAGGAGGAGGAGGAGGCGGAGGAGGAGGAGGCGGAGGAGGAGGAGGGGAGGAGGAGGAGGAGGAGGAGGAGGAGTGAGGAGGAGGAGGAGGAGGAGGAGGAGGAGGAGGAAGGAGAAGGAGGGGGAGGAGGAGGAGGAGAGAGGAGGAGGAGGAGGAGGAGGAGGAGGAGGAGGAGGAGGGAGTGGCAGAGGAGGAGGAGGAGGGGAGGAGGAGGGTGGAGGAGGAGGAGGAGGAGGAGGAGGAGGAGGAGGAGGGAGGAGGGAGGAGGCCTATGCTCGAGTTGAGGCCCGTCCCCGGTGGAGCACGTCCTCAGGTCCACCATCGGCCCGTGGCCGGCCGCCTGCCTGTTTTCTGACCGTGCCCCTTGCGTGTGCAGCGCGTCCTTTTTTCCGCACCCTCCGGCCGCCTGAGGCCCCGCCCGCTCGCGCCCTGTCTCCTCAATTAGTGTTTCGCGCGCCCCGCCGAGCTCTTAACCGGAAGAGGCCCGCTCTCGACCCGCCGACCAAAAAAGTGCAGCGCGTCCTAATTTACTCAGGAGGAGAAGACACACACACACACAGACAGACCTACACAATTCATCGTCGATCCCCCAGAACATATGGGAACATATGGGAAGTGTGGGGGGAGACAAACACCCAGAACGAATGGGATCATATGGGGGATCCTGTTAGTTGTGTGTATTTATTTGTGTGTCCCAGGGGCCCTTCATATACCACGGTGCTGCCGGCCTGACACCCACTCTCTGGAATACCGTGTCAGATCCGTTTTGTGTGGCCAGGAGCGACACGTGGGAGAAACAGAAGGAGCACGCTGGCAGCCCTCTCAATAGTTCGCGGTTGGGGGCGGAGCCCACTCAGCCAAGGTTTCTGCCCCCCGTAAGCCGCTCAGAGCACTCGCAATCCATGCATGAGCTAGGCCAGACACAACCCACACTCGCATCCGTGTGTGACAAGCGGTCATAGTTACACGGATGCGAATGTGATCCAAGTCGAAAATTTAGACTTCAAGTCGAAAGTTTAGGTTCCAAGATTAGGCTTCAAGTTTAGCAGCCTGAGCGGTGCTCCAAGTCGAAAGTTTAGGTTCGTGCGTTTTTTTTCCTTCTTCCAGGCCCGTGGCTTCGTCCCCCGCCGCTTCGGCGGCTTCGGCGGCAAGGGCGGCGCGCCTCCGCCGCGCCCCGCCTTCGTGCAGGTCGTGCAGGTGCCGCAGCAGGCGGCGCAGGCCCCGCAGCAGTTCGTGCAGGCCCGGCCGCAGGTCGTGCAGGTGGCCAACCCACCGGCGCCTGCGGTGCGAGCCGGGGTGCTCGCCACTCGAGGGGCAGCAGGCCCAGACGCCTGGCGCCTCAAGGAAAACTCGAGGTGGAGGTCTTTCCTCGCGTTAGGCCCCTGGGGGCCCTTCCCGGGCCTCGGGGCCGTCAGAGGAGGACTCGCGATGAAAAGTTGGTCCTTGGGAAGTGGTCGAGAGGTCGGGGGCCGTGATCTCGGACAAATCGAGGCGCCGGATGTTTGGGAACAGCATTGACATATTGTCGACGCTCCGCGCGGACTTCTCGGATCGGCGCCCCTGGCGCGCTCCGCGCGCCAGGGAGGGGGGTCCAGCGCCGATCCAAGAAAGCGGCGCGGACCTCATGTTTCTGACTTTGTGTTTGTTCCTCCAGCCATGGGGCAAGTCATACCAAAGTGCTCTCTGGGCTGGTGCCGCTTCACGGTTTTCTCATGACCGGCCTCCAACAATTCCATTCGTCTCTAGTCTGACCGCAGGTTGTCGTCGCCGCCGCCGCCGCCACCGTCTTCGTCGGCGGCGTCGCCGTTGGGAGTCAGTAGCCCCTTGTCTGTAGGGACGCTCGGGTCCTCCTGAGGGAAACGGGTGCGATGTTTCCTGGTGTTTTCGAGTTTTCTTGGCTCTTCACGACTCAGGATGAAGATCTGGTCATTGGGGAAGGCCCTCGGGTCTGGGACCTGTTTCCCAGAGGACCCGATTGTTTCATGCCAAGGTACCTATAAACACTGCATTCATCCCGCTGGACGCCACGCCGATGGAGAACCGGATCCTCAATATCAATGCCGGGAGCCCGCCCGGGGGACCGATCGATTTCGCGACGTACTTGGCGCTCCGGACGGTGAGCGAGAGCTTTGCCACCGAGCTGCTGGATGCTGTCGAGGCCAAGGCCAGGCAGACCTCGGATGAGGACAATCTCGGAGGAGACAGAGGTACCGATATCGCTGCCCTTCCCTCGCTGCCGCCTTTTTTTGGGCCTCCTGGGAGGCCATCGTCACCACGGCTGGATTCTCTTAGAAGTTTTGGTTCGAACGCACCCCAGGAGAGATCTGGGGAGCAGGGGTGTCGGTGTCTCTGGCTTCCCAACGCTCGTACCAGAGCGTTCTCGAGCGCGTCTTGGATCGCTCCAGAGCTGGCCTTGGCGCCCAGCACATCCTCAGGACCCGCCGGCTCTCAGAGATTCCCAAGGATGCGGCCAGGAACGGTTACTCAGCGCCGCCGATTTTCTACGTTGCATCTTAGGGGGCAGGCGAGGGGTCTTCCCTTGTGCCCGACGCGGGCTCGATGCGGACGCGACGTGGATTTGGCGTGGATTCGACGCGGATTCGACACGGGACACGGACTCGACACAGGCCCGATGAGTCCGACATGGACACGGATTCGACGCAGATAGGACCGAGACGGGACAGAGAAGGTCCCCCGAAGATGCAACGTAAGATCTTGGCCCGCGACGCTTCGGCTCCACGCGCTAAGCACGCCTCAGCCCCCAAGCATCCACGTTCTGGGCTTTTCTTCCCCCCCCCCCGCCCCGCCAAGCAAAGCGACACGCCACCGCCCTGCAGGGCACAGCGTATCGCAGGGGCCACCGCCGTGACACGCCGAGCAACATCTCCTGACTGCATCCGCGCCCTGATCAGTGACGCATCCTTGTCCCGCCTTTGCCTCACAAAGGGCTACGGGGGCAGCACGGTCAGCTTCCTGCAGGCGTCCGTCTCGAAGGTGCAGAGCGGGCAAGACTGGCGCGACCCCGGCGGAGGCCCAGCCAGCAACGGCTACGGACCTGGCAGCGGCCCAGCAGTGAGCCGCCACGTGGCGCCGTACTGAGCAGCGTGGGCCGAGGAACAGCAAGCGACACAGACATGGGCTTTCGGAGTTCCGCGCCGAATTCTTGAGTCCCAGCTAGGCCCCCTGGCGGCGCATCTGGCGCCGCCCCTGGCGCTCTCCGCGCGACAGGGGCGGGGGGGTCCAGGACCGACCCAAGAAAGCCGCGCGGACCCCCGAAAGTTCACGTTTCTGGTGTACTTTTGTTCTTCTAGTGCGGGAGTCGTCCCTATTATCAGATCGTATGCAGAACAAGCATCGTTCAGGCAGGCCTAGGCTGAAGGAATCTCGTTGCAGAACGCTCTGGAACGCGTTCGGAGCGTTCCAGAGCACTCTGACACGGCCGCGACGCCAGATACATCCCCCAGACCCGCCTGTTGCCACGCATTTATGTTTTATATTCATTTGAAGTTATCGTCATCCTGCCTTGGTCTTAGTCGTAGACATCGTTGCCACCGCCATGAGGTCCCATGGGGCTCTGATATAAGCGACAAAGAGTGCCACCAAGAGGATGGGTGGATCGGGGGTGACTCCAGATTCAGCGCGGAATCTGGTGAAGCCCAGAAACCACGAGTGCGATGCAGCAAATCTGAGCTTATCCCGCTGGCTTCCCGCCACCGTACCAACGCAGCGTCGATGTGGACATGGAGCGTTACACATAGAGCCTACCCTGCCAAGGACCGAGAAGCTGCATCTCTTCCTAGGCGAAGACTGGCAGGTATTGCCCGTCTACCCAAACCTCCTGGGGCCCCATCACGTTAGACGCGTCGTGGCGATTGAATCGATGGAGTTATTCCGACAGGCCCGCCACGTAAATTCCAGCGACAAGAGGGAGCAGCGAGCGCAAAAAGGGAGCACCACGAGGGCGGCTCGGCCAGACGGAGGCCTGCGGTAGCCAGCGGGAAGGCAGGCTCTCTTTCTTCCAAGGGAGGACCAGGTTTTGGGATTCAGACCGCCTCTGCGGGCACACATTCGCTCAGGATGATTTCTGAAGCGTCGCGGGGTGCAGGTCCAGAGCAAGCAAAGACTGGGCGTTGGGTGGTGTGCCCTGTGCGTCTGCCGCGAAGTTCTGCTGTGTCGTTCTGCCAGCCCCACGGGGGGCGGATGCGCCACGCCGTTTCGGCGCCGGGGCGATCGTGCGAATGTCCACGAAGGCAATGGCAACTCACCGCGCGTGGGCACAGGGCAGCGCCAAGCTCAAGCTCCTGCGATCATGAGAAGCAGCAGCGCGCCGTTCGTAGATGTAGGGCTCCCGGATGGGGCCGGAGTGGATGGGGTCCGGGGGTCGCGCAGCATCGCCGTTGCCTCGCCGATGCCTCGCCGATGCCTCGCCGGTGCGGCACGATGCGTAACCCGATTTTCTCCACGCCGACGTCGCCGACGCATCGGCGATGCCTCGCCGATGCCTCGACGATGCGGCACGATGTGTAACCCGATTTTCTCCACGCCGACGTCGCCGCTGCCTCGCCGATGCCTCGCCGATGCCTCGCCGGTGCGGCACGATGCGTAACCCGATTTTCTCCACGCCGACGTCGCCGACGCATCGGCGATGCCTCGCCGATGCCTCGACGATGCGGCACGATGTGTAACCCGATTTTCTCCACGCCGACGTCGCCGAGGCAGCGGCGATGCGGGGCGATCCTCCGGCCCCACCCGCTCGGAGCGTGGGAGAGGCAGATCCGCAGGCCCCCATCGGTGGTCTCTGGGGGCCTTCGCGAGTTTTGCAGGAGGGGGAACAAGCACACGGACACAGTCGATCGTCGACTCGCCAGAAAAAATGAGCAATATGGGAACTGGGGGGAAGACAGCCCAGAAAATACATGAAACTATGGGGAATCCTGTCATGTGTGTATATTTATTGAGGGGAAGACAGCCCAGACAACATATGAAAATATGGGGAATCCTGCTTTGTGTGGGTGTATATTTATTTGTGCGCCCCAGGGCCCCCTCAGTTCTTGGGGCCTCTTGGAGGCTTCTTGGGGAGCCCTGGTGGTCTGCACGGCAAACTGCGTGCAACGTGCGGGCCGCATGCCCGGGTTAGCTGGGGTTCCGCACCAGATTCAGGCTGGGGCATCCGACCGGGCCGAGAATGCGGAGCACGCAGCGAGACAGAAGAAGACGGCAGCGGAATAGAGGGAAGAAGTAAGGAGCCGAAGGAAATCCCAGCAGAACGCCGGACAGACCGCACGAAGATCGAAATGAAGCCAAAGTCGGTTCCTGCTCCGCGCGGCGCATGGGAGGCATAGACGCGGACCTACCCCTCCGCCGTTAAGAAGAAGCGCAGCCGCGAAGCCGCCGGCCCGTAGCAGACGCCTACGACCGCAAGCGGCAACGCACGCCGCGACGACGACCTGCCGCAGCAGACAGCCTGAAGAAACGGGACAAGAAGACCGCAGCCGCAGAATAAGTTACGCCGTTCCGCAAGCATCCTCCGCGTAGCCGACGGCCGCGCAGACGACGCTAGCCTCCTCCGCCGCGCAGGCGCTCGCATCTCCGCCTCCCCTCCCCATCATCCTTCCCTCCTCATCCTCACTCCTCCCTCCTACTCCTCTCCTATTCCCCTCCCTCCCCTCACGTCCTCCTCCTCCCTCCTCCTCCCTCCTCCCCTTCCTCCTCCGTCCTCTCGGGAGTGGAGCCACTCAGTCGCGGCCCACGCCCAGTCCTTCCCTCCTCCTCCTTTTCCTCCTTTCCTCCTCCTCCCTCCCTCCTCCTCCTCCCCTCCTTCCTTCCTCCTCTCCTCTCATTCCCCCATCCTGCCCCTCCTCCTCCTCTCCTCCTCCTCCTTCCTCATTTTCTCCCCCTTCTCCTCCTTCTCCTCCACTCTCCTCCTCCTCCCTCCTTCTCCTCTCCTTCTCCTCCTCCTCCCCCCCTTTCCCTTCCTCCTCCTCCCCCTATACTCCCACTCTTCATCTCCCTCCTCACTCCTCCTCCTCCTCCTCCTCCCCCTTCGCCTCCTTTCTCCCCCTCCTCCTCCTCCTCCTCCTCCTCCTCCTCCTCCTCCTCCTCTCTGTCTGTCCATCCTCGGCCCTTCCTGGCTCGCGGGCCGCGCGGCGCAGCCCCGAGGCACGCCTCCGCCCGCCGCCGCCGCGCGGGCCATGCGCGCGGCGCCGGTGGGGCGCCCGGCGCGGGGCCTCCTCTTCGGCCTCGGGGGCCTCTGCGCGGCGGGCGGCGCGGCGGGCACGGCCGGCCCAGGACGGGGGGAGCGCCGGAGGCTTCGGGAAGGAGAGTCAGAGGGGGAACGGGAGGAGGAGCAGAGGAGGAACAGAGGAGGAACAGAGGAGGAACGGATGAACAGAACATGAGTAGGAAAGAGGAGGAACAGAGGAGGACGGGGGAGCGCTGGAGGCTTCGGGGAGGAGGGTCAGAGGGGGAGCATGTACACATGCTTCGTCTCCAGCTCTTCGAAAGGTGTTCCATATTTTTTTTGGGGGGGGGCAAGATCCTCTCGTTTCTGATTCTTCTCTCCTGGGCCTCATCCTGGCCACCGGGGGGCCAGGATGAGGCCCAGGAGGAGGAGCAGGCACCGAAGGTTCATCTCAGGAGGAGGAGCAGAGGAGGAGCAGAGGAGGAGCAGGTCCAGGAAGGAGAGTCAGGGAGGAGCAGGAGTCGGATGGGGGAACAGGTACCGAAAAGGTTTCGGGAAGGAGGTTCAGAGGAGGAACAGGAGGAACAGGAGCACTGTTCATGTATCATTATTCGAAAGGTGTTTGATTTTTTTGGGGGCGAAGATCCTCTCATTTCTAATTCTTCTCTCCTGGGCCTCATCCTGGCCACCAGGGGGCCAGGAAGAGTCAGAGGAGGAGCAGGCACCGAAAGCTCATGTCAGGAGGAGGAACAGAGGAGGAACAGAGGAGGAGCAGGTCCGGGAAGGAGAGTCAGGGAGGAGCAGGAGTCGGAGGGGGAACAGGTACCGAAAAGGTTTCGGGAAGGAGGGTCAGAGGAGGAACAGGAGGAACAGGAGCAGTGTTCATTTATAATTCTTCGAAAGGTGTTTCATTTTGGGGGGGCCAAGATCCTTTCATTTCTAATTCTTCTCTCCTGGACCTCATCCTGGCTACCAGGGGGCCCAGGAAGAATTTGAAACGAGCACAATTAGATATGAGCACGATCAGAAATGAACGACGTGGACCCATACCTCTACCCCCTCGCCCGTTTTCCCCTTCTTGAGCCTCCTGGGAGGCCCTTATCGCCATCGCTGGAGGCGCCTCGAAATCCTGGTCAGAACGCACCCTGGGAGAGGTCTGGGGGGTAGCGGTATCGGTACCTTTTGGTTTCCCCAGAGAGGGTCCTTCAGAGCTCCAAATCGTCAGGGGTAATTTGAGTCAAAGCGATCTCTGGCTCGTTTCTCGGGAATCCGGATCCGAGGTAATTACCCGGGACCCGAGTTACGCCGGATAGTTCGGGCGTCCAGAGCCCCATCATTAGGGGTAACTCGGGTCAGGGCTAACTCGGGTTCGTTTTGGGGGGAATGCAAATCCGAGTTACCCGGACCCGAGTTACCCCGGATAACTCGGGCGCCCAAGTCTTTGGCAGAGGTGATGCGCAGCAGCGGCAACGGTGTGCTTGAGCCAGAGGTCGCGGCAATGGCAACAAAAAGACCCGAGAGTCCCAGGCCAATTGTCCTGTTTCATATTAAGGTTTTTTGCATTTTACAACAAACAACTTTATCACACACACACACACACTTTTGGCTTGTACCACCTTGGGCCCTTTCTCATCTTGCGCGTCTGCCACACAAGCGAGCAGGCAAGCAAGCAAGTCCTAACGAAGAGGCCCGCAAGGGGCAGGACTACGAATGATGCGCATCCCGCGCCTTCCGTGCAAGCTACACTTGAGAAGCATGCTGTTCTGCGTGCTTGCCGCCCACTGCGCAAACTAAGTTTCGCGGTTAGATCTGGTCAGTAGCTGCTCGGAACCATTATCCGAGACCGGCCTCCTGGCAGACACGTCTGAGCACGTCTTCGAGATTCATTCACCTGCGTCGTAGGGATCTCCGAAGGCACAATGAACTAGGATCGGCCGCCGTGGCTTGCCACGCTGCGCCTCGCCACGTCGTGACCTCGTGGGCCCAAGCCGCGGGGCGAGAGTTTGAGAGTCTGCCCGCCCAGCGGCACTCTCTCCGGAAGTGTTCGACGACCCACTTCTTGATATGGAGTTCGCGTCCAGGGCTCGTCGCCCGTCTTTCTGCCTCCAGCGGTTCGCCAGACCATGCTGTTGTCAGCGGCCGCCAGCTGGCGCAGTTCCTGGGCTCGGGGAGTCCAGGATTCTGTCGCCCATAAGCAGGCACTCCGTGACCGTCGAATCGAACAAACGGGGCCTCTTTTTTGTCGAGTGCGAGCTGTTAAATCACAAACGTTTGAGTGCCTAGAATTTTCTCAAACTGGCAGAGCTGCGGTTTGACACCTCGTGTCTTGTTGGGCCGTCCAGCGACAGCTCCGTCCCTAGCAAGTCGAGGCATTCCTAGTGAGGCCTCGGGGCTGGTAACCCCCTGGGCTGGTACCCCCCCCTGATGTCCCATCCAAGTCGGGGCCGTTAACACCCTGGGCCCTCGGTCGTCTTGTACGTCTGCCACAACATGAACCTTTCCGTGGCGAATTGCAAGAAGCATGGTGCTCCCAGCTTGGGGGGGCGATCTTGGAGGAGGAGAAGGTACCGATGTCGCTGCCCTTCCCTCGTTTTCGTCTTTTGGGGCCTCCTGTTTGGCCCTCGTCGCCACGGCTGGATTCTCCTCGATATTCTGGTCAGAGCGCACCCCTTGAGGTAACCAGGGAGCCGGAATTGGAAAGGTCGGGCATGGAGAGAACGCCCACCTAGCCAAATCTGTACCCGTTCTTTCGACATGGGCATCCGAGTGTAACGGTCCATTCCCAAGCAGGTTTCGCTCATCGACGTGCGTCTCGCCATATGCATTCGCTTGCTCTTTGGAAGTCGATTCGTTCCTCCGCTGGGGTGCCCCTCCGAAGGCGGTACCGTGCGCACCTGGAGTGCCCGTGGCGGCTTTCGCCAGCGTGCCTTTTTGCTACAGGAGTTCCGCCCACCCCCGAAAAGCGTGGACTCGCCCCCCCCGTCTTTCCTCAGGGGTGTGGAACTGAAGCAGTTGCGAAGCGTCTTGGCTCGCCTATAGGCCTATCAAACAATGTTCTAAGAACCTTTCGTGGTTTCCACAAAATGTTCTGAAAACATTTCTGGTTGGGACTGTCTTGTTTCAGAACA